ATCAAAGAATAACAAACTAAAGAAACCTTGCAAATCATCTAAGCCTCCATCCAGGCAGGTATCTACTACTAAAACATCTCTGACAGATTACCATCTAGCTTCAGAAGAATGCCCCTGCCAATACATAAGACAATCCGTTGCAGTACAGCCGCTGTCATTAGGATTTTTTAAAAACATAATATCCCATTGAATCTATCTCCTTGTAATGTAAAACACTTCTTGTCTTGTTTTTTTGGAACAACTTTGTGCAATTCTTGATACTATTTCAGTTGCTTGACTATATACATATGGACGGGGTGAAATACTACTGGTTCAGATCAGTTTGCCTGATCCAGTGGTAAAACAAATGCTACCGATTTGGGCAAACCAGTAGTTCCGATGATCAGCTGTGCAACAATCAGCTGTGGCACATGATTTCTGTGTGGCACAGCTGATTGTAGCACAGCTGATTGTCAGAGCTACCAGTTTGCCTGAACCGGTAGCATTTTTTACTACTGGTTCAGGCAAATGGCGCACGTGCATGCACAAAACAAACCAGTAGCAGGCTTCAAAGCATTTCAGCCCTACATTGGGGGAAAAAATAGTTATGCCTCACCAGAAGAGTCACTCTGTGAGGAAGATGGGTGATTTCTAAATGTGTCAACTTAAACCAAACCAAACCAAACCAAAAAATAAATAATCTTCTCCAGAGTTCTTCCAACCCTCCATTGCAAGTTTTCTTTTATTTTAGCCCTTTATCATTTTAACTGTTCTTTTCTAGATATGTTCCTGTGCTTATCTTCTTCTCTAAAATGCAGAGCCCTGGATCCAACTGAAGATTTTAGGTTCTGTCTGAGCAATGCAGAATAGAATGAAATCATAATTTATCTTTACAGTATCTTGACATTGTGCTCCTCTGATGCAGCCAAGCGTTTCCTTGCAGCTCTATGGTATAGTAGGCTCACATTCAGCTGCTGATCAATCAAGGTAACTAATTCTTATTTGTGTTACTGCTGTCTGGTAGGATTTCCTACTCACAACTTTGATTCCTCCCAAACAAATGTTGGACTTTGCGTACATGTCCTTGTTGAAATTCTTCCTGCTGGTTTCTGCCCATTTTTCCAGTCAAGATCCTTTAGAATTTTAATGCTCTCCTCCAAGCGCTTGCAATCCCTATTTCATTTGCAAATTTGATAGTCATATTTTCTGATTTATCATCCAAGTAATCTTTAATGTTTAAATAACACAAGACTGAGAATTGATCTCTGTAATATTAAATGGTAATTATATATCTGTCTACTGGTATAATTGACCAGCTCAGATATTACAATCTTCTTTACAAGACTACTTTTACTGAATAATTTTAATTCTTAGATTTCTCATCAATAAGCATGCTGGCTGGGTAAGAATACCTGGTTTGGGAAAGGATGAAGCAAATTTTAGTTATAAGCTGTAAGCCTTGTGTATAAATATTTTTTCTTCCCTTTTCCCTTCATGTCCCTTGAATTTCAAATAAATCTTATTATATCGGAACAGAGATCTGTAAGTTGTATTTGTCCTTCCAGTCAAAACTGGAAATTGAATTCCAGTATTCTAACTCAATGGTTAACACTTTGGGGAAATAATGTAAAACTGGATTTTGCCTGTTTTCAGAAGAAAATCCATAAAAGGAAATTCAGATCATGGGCAATCTTTGTTTTGGCAAGATATGAAAACTACATACAGAGGATTAAAACCAAATATTAATATTCAACTTCAAGTTAAACTTGTTGCTTTAGCCGTTTTCTTTTTTTTCAGATTTATGGAAAATCTATAGTTAGGGTTATGGAAGCAAAACTTAATTTATTGTGTGATAACTAACATATCCATCCCAGACTATAGAAGCAGGATTGGCTGCTATGAACCTTGTAAGGTCAGCAGGTTTTTTTTTTATAGTCAGCACACTTTAATAGCCTTTCTAATCAATAGGCTTCAGTAGCTCTGATGGTTTCAAGTCTTCCAACTGCTTGTCTTTTGTTTTTTCACTGCATTGCAAAGCAAAATCTAAAAGAGGATAACCAAAACTTATTAGGGGAATCACAGCACTTTAATTCAACCTTTATATTGGCCAGTGTCATAGAACAAAAGGGTCAGCGGTTTTTAATCAGGTTTCCCGATTAAAATGGCCATATTGAAAAGTATTTCATTTTTATTAGCATGGGCCTCTCTTTTACCGTTTCTTCCCCTTTCATGAATTCATTTTGTATCTGGAAAGTTCTGAAAATTAACAATTCTTCATTGCTTCTAATATTTCAGATTCCTGTCTCTGAAGCCAATGGAAAATACATAGACATGATTCTAGGCCTGTTGGGCTTAGAGCCGCAACTAGAATCGTGAAAGAAACCCCGTAGGGGAAACAAGCTGAAAAAGGGAACTGAGGTGACTGTCTATCAATTGCAGAGCGTTCTGCTATCTCTTTGACTCACAAGAGGACCAGAAACCATAGAGAAAATATGTCAGAATTTCTACTTAGTTTATGAAAGAATAATAGAAAGATTGCTTTGGAAACTACTACTTGCTAATTCTCTTCTGAGCTTAGTCTCACCTGCTCATCCCTCCAGGCCATAATTTATACTTCAGAAATACAGGTGATGACTTAAAAAATGACTAAAAGGAAATTAACTAAAATGTTACCGTGTTTCCCTGAAAATAAAACAGGGTCTTATTTTCTTTTGACCCCCAAAATAAGCGATTGGCCTTATTTTTGGGGAGATCTTATTATTTTTGAGGTGTAGGAGGTAGCGACGATGGTCACCTCATGGCTGCTGCTGTGTTGCAATATTTTCAGGGAGGGATTATTTTTGGGGGAAGGCTTATTTTAGCACATGCCCTCAAAAGCCTGATTGGGCTTATTATTCAGGGAGGTCTCATAAGAACCAAAGAGCTACGTATCGGCCTCTTGAGGTAGCCCAGATCAGGAAACAAGGTCCACAACAACACTAGATCTATATTTTTTAAAAAATTGAGAGAGGTTGTAATAACAGAATCTTGCAAATGTGACTGTGTTTCTTCCCCCTTCCCTTTTCTACTCTGGTGAGTCAGGGATGAGTCAGCCTGAGTTTCTTCTTTATAGTATCTCTCTTAGGACTTAAGAAACATTCATTTCACTGGATCTCTACATGATGTCAGTTCATGGGTGATTTAGATCAGGGTTGTCAAATTCACAGCCCAGATGCATCACACAATGGCGATGCCCATGCCCGGTTTAGCAAAGGGGGGAAAAGTTTCGTGATGCCTCCATGATGACGCAAGTTTGATCTTACTAGATTTGATTTTTTTTTCTCATTAGTCACATAGAAAGCAACACACCTCTGATTCCCAAGCACTGCACTCTTGCAGGCTCTTCCAGACTACTGTCATCAATATGTAATTCAATTTTCTTCAAGTGAGCACCCTCCAGATGTGCAACCAATATAACTGAAGGATAATAGGTATAATCCATTCTGTCTGGAGACACATGCTGGTAATAAATTATATAGTTCACAATTTCTCTCTTTCTCTCCTTTAAATTACCAAGCATGCCACTTTAGAAATGGGTAATAATTTGAAGCAGGGTTGCTTGATTATGCATGCACTCCTGCTTCAGAGTTATATAAATTATTGCCAGTTAATATTAAGGTGAACACAGCCACCTCATGCAATTTCCCTCACATATTTTGCTAATGCTCTGAGCTTGGAACCAGAGGCAGTCTATTAAACTGGAGCTCCTATGGACACTGAGACAACATGGTCAGCATTCCCATAATTGGCTATTTTTATGAGGTCAGATGTTGCTTAACAGATGCTACTAGTCTAATTTGTTATACTATTGGATGACCAATACTATTCAATTTCTTCCCCTCCCTTAGTCAAAGGTACCACTTTTTTCACCTTCACTATAGCATACTGGCAGCTGCAGTAACTCCCCACTCCCATTTACTGGGTTTTCAGCTATCTACTCTGAACGCAGTGATGTGGCTGGAATTTACATTTATTTCTAATTGTGTGCTGAAAAGAAAACTGCTAAAGGTCTTCATATCATAATACTTTCTGGCAAAATGATAGATTAAATATTTCCTTTCTATTAGGTGCAGTTTTAGTCCCATATCTCTTCTAAAGTCGTCTGCAGCACATTCGATCTGCATGATTAAATCAGTTTAGTTTTATAAAGTCTATATGTATGAATCTGCATAGGTGAACTTTCAAATGCTTTGCTTGTTTGGTCCTTCAAAACATACATGTCCAATAATTAGCATACCTAATCAAAACATTTTGCCTTGTAGTTTAGCCTTGTTGCACATTTATTTTTGCACAAATTGATGGTTTCTGATGCCTGCTCTAGTGCTATGGTGGAAGAGACAGAATCACAAGGCCAGTGACCTCATCATCCACTTATCCAATTTAGCTTTCCAAGCTTCTGATTGTCCTTCTTGCTTTAACAGATGAGAGGAGGCAGACTTCAAAGTGCAGAATAATAAGCTTCAAAAGCCAGTGTGGAAAAAGAAATCTGTCTAGAATGTAAGCAATTGATTGGAGGTATAGGGTTTTTTTGTTTTTTTTTACAGTGGCATTTGAGGCATGCAAAACATATTGTAACCAAGCTCACGTAGAAGATGTTCGGAAACGGTTTCTAGATTTTGCCACTACTACAGCAGCTGAGATGTTATGTAATCAAACATATTGTGCTTGTTGTCATGAGAAAGTTTCTTCCTGATATTCTCTGCCAGATTGCTAGAATGTTATTCAAGGAGTTTTTCTTGTACAGGGGGAAAAATCTATCCATAAATCCTGCTCCATTAATCTGAAATTATACTATCCAAGAACATACTTATTACTTCATTTATTGCTCATATGATAACAAGCCTAAGAATGCGGATACCATAAAATATGTATTCAGGCAACGCAAGCCACAAATTGTGCTATAGCTATTTTTCAGTTCAAACTCCCTGCCCTATGTAAACAAGTTAACATGTAAACAAGTCAATTTCTCCAGGCATCCTTACTTTATATCCTCATCGTAGGCAAAGACAATGATAGCCCTGGCTCTGGGTGTATCTAGAAGCAGCTTGATAATTTTATCAAATTCGTAGGTCTTGTTTTTGCGATCCTGTGGGATTTTCAATGACTGGGCAATGCAGAGATCACCTGTTAACAGAAAAAAAAAAGAAGACAATATGCTAAAATCTGTAAATCAGAAAAAAAGAAAATTGGAAGAAAAAAGTAGTTAGAGGGAAGATATAATTAAAAAGAAAAGAATGAAAAGTGGATTTTGGCCTAGTTTGGTACAGGGGATGTGGCTCTAAACTTTCTACATGCATACTCTACATTAAGATTTATGGACTTTCATAATTAAATAAGTTGAGTGCGTCTGATTAGTCTAAAAAAAATAGTATAAATAATCAGACCCAGAATTAAGTTTTTATTATATTTCTCATTTTATCCCATCTGAGTCCTCACAAAATCTGGGGGGGGAAAAAGCTTCTAAGTATCTGCCTGGATTTTATGTTTTATATCTTTGGTTTTACCCATTGCTTGGATGCTCTCCTGGAAAGTTCACAGTATGAATTTGGTCCATTATATCCACTGTCACAAAATAATAAAGAGGGGAGTCCAGGACCCCACAAGAGAACCTGATGTCTTCCATGTCATCTAGAGGCTCAGATCTTGAATCTAGGTGGATTGTTTTCAAGTCCCCTCTTGTGACAGATTATATATAGGCCACTTTCTATCACACAGAGAGCAGTTGTCTACTCTACGGGATGGAGCTCCATGCTGAATGATAACACTTGAACTATATATCTTTAGAAACGTTTTTGACACGAAATTGAAAAATGAGAAAGTATCAGGCTTTCAAAGAAGAAAATATGGATTTCCATGAAAATCAAACTGACATACAGTGCAAAGGAAACACTCTCAATATAAAATTCTATTCCATGATGACTGACTCCAGGAAATTTAACTCTTTGCATGCAGTAGATATCCTTTGGAATGATATATCTATTCCATACTCTGTATGTCAATTCTACATTATTGAAGACTCGAATGAGGGACGCGACAGCCAGAGTCTCCGAACAAGAACTTCTTTATTAACAGACATCGAACAACGGTGACAGCAATTCAAAAGGGCGCTGTCCGCGCCAAGGTATTTATATTCCAAAGTAACAAAGTATCTAACCAATAGGAAGCCGGGACTTGGCAGTAACTCTCTGACAAGTCCCTCAGCCAATCAACAGGTCTTGTCGGCTAGCAACAGCTCCTGCTGCGTCCTGGCCAATCAGGAAGCAGCAGGCTGTTGCCAGCCTTGAGCAAGGTTCTGAACTAACATTACATATGCAACAGGACTCATGAATATGCAACATACATCTTCCCAACAAAGAGAGCAAGTAGGACTAAATTTTAAAAAGAGAGGATATAGATTTTCATATATCCATAGATGTAATTTAGAAAATATTACACATATTTTCCTAGAATGTAACATGTATTAACTGAGTGAAAAATATTGTATTCTATCAGTATTGCACAACAAAAAATGTGGAATTTTAGCTCCTTGTTTTGCTTTGCTTCTGTTTCATCTAGACTTAAATTGAAAAGTCTTTGAAACAGCTGGCTATTCCCTGAACACCCTGCAAATAAAGAAGCAAGTCCCTTGATAAGAAATATACCTACTCTATTCCCCACCTTTGCAAATTGTTTTGAAGAAAAAAATAACATGCTAGTGGAATACTACAATTGTAAAAAAAAAAAAAACCATAGACTCTAACTACAGTACTTTTTTTAGTACAAGGGAGAGGTGCTCAGAAAATCATACCACATAGTATTTATAATCTTAGGGCTATTATTTTAAACCACAAACTAGTATGCATTCTTACTAATTTCATGTGTTCAATCAGTACAATACAGTTTCCAGACCCAACTCATTGGTTTGTATTGGGGCAGTCACAACCCTCAGGCTAACTATCTCAAGATGTTCCTTTGAACAGAAGAACATTTTCCTCTGAAAAAAGCCTTTATTTGAGGTTGTCTACAGGTATTCCAGTTCATTTTCTTCTGAGCTAGAACCCACAATCTCGAAACACAAACATGCCATATATTTTTTTTACTTGGAGACAGTTGAAGAGTCCCAATGAAGATTCAGGGTCAATCACCTTTCCATGATGGGACCTAACTACAATGCTTACTTCCCATTCCCATGACTCTCCCTACTTCACTTGCTTGTATTGTGTCTGGCTTTTTAAATTCAGACTGCTTTCTTTCTTTTTTTTCTTGCTACAAACATAGGCAGAAACAGAGGTTATGAGAGTGCAGACTGGAGGATGATTTCTGTGCTGATTTATGGCTGAGATGGTGGAAATGCAAGTTAACTCAGGCTGTCTGCATAGTGGCTATAGTAAATTAAATTGGAGGCTCTTCTGAGAATGCCTCTAGGAGTATATCACAGAAGGATAGCAAAAGTGCTTAGATTTATATACCGCTTCACAGTGCTTTACAGTCCTCTCTAAGTGGTTTGCGAGTCAGCATATTGTCCCCAAGAATCATTTAACACACCTCAGAAGGGTGGAAGGCTGAGTCAATCTTGAGCCTGGTGAGATTTGAACTGCCAAATTGCAGGCAGCCAGCAGTCAACAGAAGTAGCCTGCAGAACTGCACTATAACCACTATGCCACCATGGCTCATTTATAGAGAAGCTCTAAAAGTGGGTGGTACAAAATCATATATGTCTTCTGAGAAGAATGACATTAAATTAACATCAATGCAAAATCATTGAATATTCACCCCTGCACCTACTTTTACAAAACTTCAACGTATTAATCTATTATTGTATGGGTACTTGAAATGTCTGTGAATACTATACAGAAAGCATTCTGCAAGTTACATTTTTTTTCTTTTAAGATCCTGTAATATATTCTGAGAGAAGTCACCATTTGATGATTTTTGCCAATGTTTTCATTTTTACCTAACAATACACTGGATTTTATTCTAATAACTTGACTGTAGCAACCAGGAAATATTTGGATTGTAACATAAGGTATATTAATAACACAGCAAAGATCTAAGGTGACTGTGACACCTTCCTGTTGAGACTCTGCTCAATGGGTATGGTGTTAAAGCATCAGAATGATCCATAAAAGAAGGGGAGGGCGTATAACAAAAATCCATTTCCCCAAACAATATTGTGAAAATTGCCTGACTTTATAGTTACTACTTTCCCCTGTGGCTCAAGTCTCTTTGGCAGACAGATCCAATTGCTTCTGAATTGGTCTAGTCATTTATATTCCCAGCACTCTCTCTCCCTGGCTATACTTACAGGTAGCAGAGAAACAAAAACATTTAACCTGAAATGTCCCAGAACGGGCAACCAAAGCATAAAAGTGCAGCAAGACTTTCTTCACAGGGTTATCCTGGCAACACAAGGTTGTATTCTTGAGGGCTTTACAGTAGGATAATGCCATTATCAAGCAGTAACTATACAACACGCTCACTGAAGAACAGACAACATAAAATGTCATATAGCTTATAAAAAGTAGTGACACAAGAGAAGAATGGGAAGATCAAGAGGTGGAAGACAAGGAGGGTGGGAGAGAAGAAAACACGTATCAGCTGCTGGTTGCACTTGATTCAAATAAATTAGAAAGAAGGTCAGAAAGGGACAGGACTCTATTTAAATGGGGGGAAATGCAAAGGGAGAAAAAGAAAACCATAGTCTTATGCATGGGCATGAAACATGTGGCTAAGGAAGAATATATGGGAAAATAATCTTGGATGTATATTTAAAAATGAAGGCGGGTTGCTCCTGGTTCGCCCAGTTTGGCCAAACTGGTAGTGGCTTTTTTGCCTGGGTTGCAGAACCAGCAATGATCCAGGCTTGCCACGCCCCCCAAATTGGTTTCTCGTTGCTGCTGATGTTGCCGCCACCTTGCTTTTTAGTGACCACGCATGCACAGTTCACTGTAAATTGTTCTGTGCGTGTGTGAAGAACAATTTACATTGAACTATGCACATACGCACAAAACACGCCCACACAAAATGTGCATGAAGCCAACTGGTAGTAAAACCTGCAGCAACCCACCCTTGGTTCAGATGTAATCTGCATTGGTCAGAATTCACCTGAAGAACACAGCCACAGTTTGGGCGCTGCACTTTCAAAATATTCAGAGAAACTGGAACAGGTATTAGGAAGCTGATGAGAATAATGAGGAGATTAGGAATTGAATGGGAATGTTTGAGAAAATTGGTGTGTTTTACCTTGAGATTAACTGACTCTGGGGTGGAGATATTAGAGCTATCCAAGAAGGAGTCACTGAATAAATCTTCTCTAACATAAGTGTACATGACATGGACTAAGGGGAGTCAAATTCCAATTAAATGCTACAGAAGCACTTCCAATAGTAGAAGCAGTTTGGCAGGGTACCAATCACCAAGTGAGATGATAAGTTCCCCTTCAAACCTAGGCTGGACAACAATTTATCAAGGAAGCTTTAATCTGGATTCCTACAATAAATCTCCACAGAAACTACTGGATTTTTCCTTCTGTTTTTTATATTTTTCATGCCCTTACCATCACACAAAATTGTGCCCACTGTCTGAAAAGGTTGTTGACCCTAATTTACACTATAATGAAACTGTCAAGTTAGTTACTATATGGTCAAGAGTGCCTGACTTAAGTTATATAGACCAAAGAAATAAGATAGGATGGAGATATGTTTACCATGAGTTTCTTTTCTAGGAATTTCTAAGGGTATTCCTGATGCACAATTAATTTACCCTCCTCAAATCTTTTGTCATCCGCTGAAGTAAACTTAATGTGCTATAGCATTCTAAGAGCTCCACTGCTTTGTTATTGCTGTATTTTCTATGTTCTGTATTAAGTTAATAACATAGGCAGTTGCATTCACTGGTATATGATTAATAGAAGAAGAAGAAAACCTGCCCTCTTTCCTCATAAAATGATGGACTCAATTTATAGTATTTGTTGTGAGAAAATTGCTTCTTTTAAATTAGGAATCAAAAAGATTGGAGATTGATGCAATCAAGTATATTTTGCTGGAATGTACAGAAGACAGTGAACATTGTGGTCCCCACCAAACAACTGTAGAAAAGCCCCAAGGTTACAGATTATATATGGTTTGTTACATTACATAGGAAAG